GACCGAGAGCTGTCAGTTAGCTCAGATTATGGCATTTATGGCAGACTTGGTTAGTGTTCAGGATCAAAGCGGCAGGATCTGGGTAATCTGTGCTCTATGTCATCATGGTGTGCTCCACATCTGCATAGGATGGGGTTGCTCTCTTGGATCTCTTTTGTCTAACAGTTTCCCTGTTAGTGAAAAGACATGGAGCATTAACAAGTTCCCAAAGGTCAGCTGCTTTCTCCATCTGCTGTTGGAGTATTTTATTCAAGGACTGATGATGTTGGAAGGGCTTGGGGAAACTTTTTATGGTGTGGAAGAGTAAGGAATACTTATCCATGTACATTAGGTAATATCGGTGGTATGGGGACAGTTGGACCAGATGATCTTGGAGGTCTTTTCCAACCTTAGTGATGCTGTGATTCTGCGGATTTTTCTGGGCCTCCCACTGTGCAGTGAAATTTGTATGTCCTACATTTCTACTGTCCCAACATCTTTTTAATTGACACAGAAAGATTTTCATATGTTTATGTGTCACAAAAAGCTACTTTGGAAAGCAGAATTTTAAAGGGGCTTGAGGAATCCAAAATGAAGAAAATAAACAGAAAAAGGAATGAGAAGAGCAAAGTGTACAATTAAGATGATTTTTGAGATGTCCTGGTACAGGGGATGCTTGTGTTAAAATAAGCACCCAGGGCGCTTATTTCACCATTTCACCCAGGGTGAAAAAGAAAATGACAGATTCTCAATTCATTGTAGGAACTGGACTTCCAAGGAAGTGAAGTAATTGAAATCAGACAGTATTACCCTAAAGGAATAGAATAAATCACTAGCTGAAGGGAGATTAAATGACAAAAGGGTGAGAGTGCTGGGGACTAGTCACTAGTACAGCTGAACTGATGACAATAACAAAAAGATAAAATCCATAACTGTTCTACAGAGACAATTTTTGTGGGTCGAGAGAAATAAAACATATATGCTTGCTACTTCTATTTTGCTAGCAATTATTCACAGTAGTGCAGAAATCATGGAGAACATATGTGGGAAGCCTCTTCTGATGTCACTGGTGCTCCTTAGATTTAGGAACCTTTCCTATACATGTTCCTTAGGCAACATGTATACCTGCATAACCACTGATATTTTCCATATGTGTATTAATTTTATTCTGTTGAAGGTAGTGGCCATTTTGTAGCAGGCTCAGTTGTATTGAGCTCCCGACTTACATTTACACTTCGACCTGGGACATTCTTTGTCATGGAAACTTGACTCCAGCCTTTCTGAGTGCTTCTACTCTAATAATTAGAGTTTTGATTGCAAAATGTCTTTTAGGATAAGGAACATGAATTAACAGAAGGCAGACTTCTCCTCAAATATGTCTTACTTATAAACTGCAGTATTTGAATGGAAATCTGTAAATCTAACATACCATAGCAGTTTCACAAAGAAAAAAAGTAATCCTTACCTTTAAAGAGTATTATTTAGATGCAGAAAGGCTGACCTGACACAGTGCAGGATATTCTACTAAGGGTTTTTCCTCTGATATGTTTTAAACACAATGTCACCCAAAAGAAAAACTTAACCTTTTGTTTATTTCATAGGAGCCTGCATAAAACATTTAGCATATGTTTTAAAATCCTTTACTGTGCAGATTCTCCTGAATCTCGGGTGAATATTCAATTTAATTCACAGCCAGCTATCTCATTGGGGAAACCAGCTCATCTACATTTTGGACCTCTGACTCCTGCTGTAACTATTCAATCTGTCTTTCTGATTCTGTACGTGACATTTTCTGCCCTTTCATTCATTCCAAATAGGTATTCTCTTTAACCTTGTGGTACCAAAACATTTCATTGTATGTGAAAGTAATGGCATTTGGTAATTGGCAATGCACCAAGTGGTAAAGGGCACCTCCAGTAATTTACTTCAATGGTGTCTGTATGAAAGCTGAAATAATTTGATTCTTCCGCAAAGGGGTAAGAGCATACTAACAGTATCTTCCAAGCCATTAGTGTAGAGAAGCTGACAGCAGGTTGCCTTGTCTCTCTGCACTTTCCCTTGTACTGCTTTAGTTATAATTAATTCATAATCAACACCTATTAGTAAGGACAATAAGTAGAAATGGTTTAAAAGAGTTTGGAATTATTTTTCCTACTTTTCCTGTTGGCTAGAGGGTATGGTAACATTACTATAAATCTAAATTTATTACTTTATTACAAATAGGAGGTTTTAGGGTTATGAATTATTTTCTGTCTACATATTTGAAAGTTCAACATGTTTCATGTAATGAAATCGTAGTTTTCTGGCCAATCTTAAGTATTATCTATATCCACACACTGCACAGACAGAAAATGATGTATAAAAAAATTGTGTGGATATGAGAGGGAGTGTGCTCAAGCACCACGTGAATTAAAAGGCAGTGTAAACCACTGGGCTGTGCACACAGCTGGGACTTGGGAATTAAAAAGCATATGATGCTTGAACAAAATTATTGAAATAAATGATTTATCATGTGACTTTTTGTGAATTGACTGGTTTCTCATAGTTTTTCCTTCTTCAAAATGGGAATGATGAATTCATTTTGTGGAACACTCTGAGAAGTTTAAATTTTTGTTCCATGCAAGGTGGGACAGGCTGAGACAGGGAGACTTGTAGCTGCTGTTACTGTCTTCTGTTGTTATAGATATGTAAAATTAATTTTGACCAAGTCTCTTGTTATCAAGTCAGTCCTGTTCACCTTTGCATGTATTATTATCTAACCATTATCAAAACATACACTAAGTGTATGTATTTGGTGAAGTTACAGGTCAGAAATATCTGCCTAAACAGAAATAGAAGGGAATAAGGAGAGAGGCACAGGTAAGTGACGTGACTTGCATAATAATCTGGCTGAGAACCCCCATCAGAAATAGAAGAGCTTTCTAGATATATATTTTGATCTGTGGCACTTTTTTTTTTGTCTACTGTTTCTCGTTCAGAACAATTCTTACTCATTTGCATGTCATTATACTGATGGGCTTCTTAGTGACAAGAATTGCATAAGTCTGTAGGTTCAACAATAGTTCAGCTACGCAGATAGATGTTTGTTGTTTCAGAATGACATTAGTTTGGGTGACATGTGGCTTTGAGTGCACATTATTCATGCTTAATTATGGTGGAATAGATAAAGAATTGGAAGACAAAGACACACCCGTGTTCCTGAATGAAGAGTCATTGTGTAATGCTTATACAGACTGAAGTGTCATCCAAGTGAATTAATTATAACAATCTGTTTTCCAATTCTATCTAGCAATTATTTCCTTTTCAGAATAGTTAGCTTTGGTCTGTTTACAGATTTTGCACAAATTTTGCAATAGATCCATAACCATGTCACCAGCTCACTGCTTCTTCAAGGGAACAGGGAGACAGCAGTGCAGTGTGATGGTGATGGAAGTTCCGAGCCTGGGCGGATGTTTCCACTCCCTACTGCCTGAGAGCATCAGGGCAGGCCTCTCACATCATACTTCTGAATGTGGATAAGGAATGAGGTTTCTAGATGACTCTATTTCTGTCTTTCTAGTCCTGAAGTCTTAATCTGTCTGTCTGTAGTGCATAAACTCTATTTCATGGAAACCATAGTTTAATTTTTTTCCACACAGCATTCTGATCCATTTGTGCTGGGGTCTACAAAAAAGCAAAAAAAAATAATATATATATATATATATAATTGAATGTATCTCATGTCTGCCAATGTGGATCTATGGAGACAGTTACTTTTTTTTTTTTTTCTTAGACTGTTTTTTTTTTTTTTTTTAACTTGTAGCAGTGTTTTGTAATGCTTGCTGCTGTGAGAGTCTTCAGACTGCAGCTGAATTTCACACATGCTGACAGGGTGACTTTATCCTCAGCTCCCTTTGAATTACCTACTTTTTATCCACTTTTCACTCTGGTAATACTTTTTTTGGTGTCCACATCACAACATTATGTCCCTTTGGATGTTTTTAATGTTAATATCAACTATATTTAATTGCTACTATAAACCTAAATAAACTAAGATATAGCAAAATTGTTTCTATCAAAAGATACTTAATTTTTCAAGAGAACTGAAGAACTGCAGGCTTCTTTTTTCTTTTCTTTTCTTTTCTTTTCTTTTCTTTTCTTTTCTTTTCTTTTCTTTTCTTTTCTTTTCTTTTCTTTTCTTTCTTTTTTTTTTCTTTTCTTTTCTTTTCTCTTTTCTTCTCTTTTCTCTCTCTCTCTCTCTCTTTTTTTTTTTTTATTGAAATATTTTAGGATTTTAGGTGTCTCATGGTTGTTCAATGAATGAATCCATCATGATAGCGCTGTCTCCAGGGAAACTTTGAAAGCTATTACCTAGAAACTCAATGAAGATCAATTATCTCCTACCACCTGCACACGTGCAATACATTTAAACAATAGTGACTGCATGTAGTGGAAACATAGTGACAAAGAAGGCTTTTTTTTTTCCTGCATTAGTATATCAGTCATAGGAATTGACTTGTTCTTTCTGTGTCCTATCTGATGAATTATGATATTGAATACCAGGAGAAATGTCATCTTGCTAGCATACATGTATGTCTTTTTGCTATAGGGTCAGAAAGTATCTTTACAAAAGGTAGATCTTCGTGATTGTGCACTGTCCAGAGCAATCTCAAAGCAAAAAAGTCTCCGCCTAGCCAAGGCTCCTACTACTGAGCACTTTCTGTGATGGGACAGCCAAAGCTGTGTCTTGGGTTTGCTTAATCAGCAAATGCTGCTAGTTGTCAGCAATAGCAAAGCCTGGGGACATTCAGAGCCCTACCTGCCACACTGTAAGGGGAGAAGAATTTCTTGACAGGTGAGAAAGCTGCATGAACTACTGCAGAAGTGATTCCTGTAATGATTCCTGGACTTAATTGTTATTGTTATTAATGATGATATAGTGCTTAGAGCCGTTATTACAACTCTTAATAAATGCATGGCAAGCACATTTTTGAGTTAAAAAGTCTAATGGATATTCATTACTAGAAAGCCTCATTGCAAAAATATGGATTATGGTTGTTATATCAGTTAAATCTGCAGAATTTGTCTCATTTCTGGATTTTCTTGTAAATCTTAATTAGCCACTGTGGAATTGTGCAAATAAGAGATTACAGGAAAAAAGTATAAGCTTTTAAAGAAAATCTGTTAAATTGTTAGAATGACTTTGGTTACTTCTGAAGACTAATAAATTAACTGATCTTTTACCATAGCCTTAGTGCAAAAGCATATTTTAACACTTGTTTTCAAAACCAACTTCATCCCAAGCTGTTTTTTATTTGCATGGAAGCAAGGACCTAAGAATGTAAATTCTTATGGAGATGCCATCAATACATATATATGGGATCAATGCTCAGGATCTGCCAATGTCCAACTCCTCTAAAGGTAGATGGGTAAGCATCTGCAAAAATCATTTGCTTATGTGAAATGCAGCTTGGCTTTGCCACTTTCAGCACTGAAATGTTATATAAACCAACTAAACATACAGTAAGTGGTTGTTTTGAAAGTTTTGGGGTGTTGATGTGAAAATCCCATGAATAATGAAGAGATCAGCAAAGTGACTGAAAAAATGTTCCTTCTCAATAGAACCGAGAATCATTTGCTATATTCAGTGTGCATATCTGGATACCAGAACACACCACTAGTCATCCAGTGGAAACAGTCTAAGCCAAGCCTTGATAGCTCAAGGGCAAGCAGCAGCTGCCAGATAAATGGAAGCTCAGAGAAGTGAGAGGCCTGGAGACCCCTGTGCATCGATGCCTTAGTCCTTGGATGATAGCCTACAATGTATGAGAAAAAAACACCATGTAGCTTAAAATAGTCTGTTTCTCCTTTTATCTCCTATTATGAATAGTCATAGTTACAGATCACTCACTGCGTGTACCCAGCCTCATGTTCTTTTTGATTTTGTTTCTGGCCTTGGTGTTGGGTTGCTGAATTTCTTCAGTAGTGGTAGTAGTAGCAATGTTGAAGGAGCAGCAGGAATGAAAATTCTCCAAGGCACAAGCTGTTCTCCCCTTCACATGGCACAGAGCAGATAGCAGGCTGCTGTGCTACTTCTGTCGCAGAGGGGTAGCCCTAGGTCCCACAGCTACTCTGGAAAATCCTTGCATTCAAGACAAGCAAAAAGGCTTCATGGATTCAAGGGCCAGCACAGACTACCCTGGTCATCTACTTAGCAGACTTGAACACAATATTCTCTTGGAAAAAAAGATTATAGATTTCTGAAGCTGTTTTTCATCCTTTTAGAGACTTCATATGATGGTGCTGCTGTGTAGGGAACTCACCAATATTTAAACACCTTTGTCAAAAGGAAACCCGGCCTCTTTCAGATGTGACTGTCAAACTTCACCTTCTAGTCGCCTGCTCCTGTGATGCCTCCTTGCTGCTTGCTGTCACATACTTAATGCCCAAGAAAATGACCAACTAACTTCTCAGCTTTCTTTTAGGGTAACCAAGTGTACTGAGTTCCAGAATCCTTGTTAAGTGCAGCACAGTTTTCTAGCACCTGGATAATTTTTGTGGAGCTCTGTACTCTGCAGTATTCAGACAGTGCAGCACAAAGCAATTCACTTCCTTTAAAAACTGACATGGAGTGAAGATTTCATCATATCAAATAAGCGGCAGAGAGATGCTTCTTTTCTATTATGGGATCACCTGTTCTTTGCTACTAATAAATTAAAATCTCTCTGCTCACTGGTGAATCACCAAAATGTCATAGCTGTTGAACATCCCATTTCTTTGTTCTTAGTGTTGCTCTTCAGATTTGCACTCTAGGAATTACTCTGTTAGTAATACTAACAAGAATTTGGATTGTACCTCACGTATTGATTTCCAGTCAAACCAGGAGCAAATACATTATTTCAGAGGTATACTTTCTCTTGTGCTACTGACACAGACTTAGACTTTAGCTCTTTTTGCCTGAAAAGTCAGTAATTTAGTAATGTCATCTAGTTGGCTCTTTTCTTATTGAATCATTAATATAACAAAGGACAGATATATCCAGGATCATTATTATGGAATATATGTTATTCCCATCTGTTACAATAAGATATCAAGAGCCTAGAGAGGATGATTCATAATTCTGATGCAATGTCCTATGGATAACATGGAGCATGGTGGCAGATGGAGGAAGATGGGTCTGAGCAGATGGATCTGGGTGCAGTTAATGTTGCACATATGGATGTACAGTAGGGCACAACACCAGGGCTAATTTCTTTCCAGAAGGAGCAGCATGCAAATTGATATCTCCACAATCACCAACAAATACCAAAATAATTCAGCTGAGGAGGCAGAAGTGCTCACAGCACTGTGTATCCTGGCCCAAGCAGCAGCCATGCAGCACAGGAGTGGCCTAAAGATATTTTACTTTCAGAATAGTATGCCTGAGTGACAAACGATGCAAACTGTTCAGATATGAAACTGCTGACTGTGTCTAGATTTATTTTGGATTGACTCACAGGGTTCCCAGTGTCCACAGGTACTGGCCAAAAAAGTCATTCTGAAGTCAGTGAGGTGATACGCACATTAGCAGAGCAGGATGTGGGGTACCGTATCTTGTCTGTGACAGTGATAAGTACAAGGATGCCAGAATGGGAGTTAGATTATGCCTTCTGTACACTGATATTGATTTCAGAAAGGAAGTCTGTTCCATGAAACAACAGCAAAAACTTTACAAGCTGAGAAAAGATGATGAGAGAGAGAAATAAGTCACATACCTGATTACAGACATCATTAATCAATTCTCTAGTCTTATTTCTGTTCAATTTACAAATTACAGTAATAGTTGAGTCTGGGTTTGAAAGGGAATAATCCTGATGTACCCTTTGCAGAGGATTTCAGGAAAAATTCAGTTCTGGGTAAGGGTGTAAGTTTCCAGTACGTTCACTTAACTGTGGCATCCCACTTAAGACTACATTTTATTTTTATTTTATTTTAAATATTTTTTTTTTGCAGATGGGAACTACCAGAGTTCATCATCTGTATTTCAGTGAATAGTGGGGTTTAGTAGTACAAGTATGTGACTGGTCATCTTGACGGTCTCCTGGAGCCATGTGAGGTTATTCTTCACAGCCACACCTACCTGTGTAGATGACTTGAGGAAAGATAAATATATTGGAAATGTGCCAAAAATACATTTGCACCCAAAGGATGTCTGCAGAGACCAGTGTTGTGGCCGAAGGGTACACTATGACTCAAGACATGTTAAGTTTTCCATGGCGCTTGTGCAAGTTTAGCAGCTCTCTTCCTAACATTCACAGAAAGACCTTGTATGTCCTGCTTTCCTCAGTGCAGGAAGTAAGAGGCCACTTCTGTGAGGTCTCAGAAGTCTGTTGTTGGGAGCCCAGGAACTTCAGTTCCTGTTAGCCCCATATTGTCTTGGGTCCTGGTCTTCAAAGCTTCTGGATAAAGTATAAAAGGATTTTGAATATCTTGTAGGATTTGGACAAACAAACTTCACCTGGATGCTCAGACTCACCCAGAATCAGCTTGTCATGAAAAACAACATTGTAAAATATGTTAGTTTAATACTTTGCACACTGCCAACAGTAATGTAAGGTTCAAGAGAAGTTCTGAAAGCAAGGAGCAGATGCCATGGAATGGCATGTTGGTTGTATAGGTTGATAGTCACATTTTGTATATTCCTCCATCTCTTTTCCTTTCAGGAGGATTTTTATAGCTACATTCTGCATTCTGTACCTTCTCTCTTTATGCCTACATGATGGTTCCCATAGCCTCAAGCTGAAAAAAATCAGCTGTCTAGCAGACTTGTCTATTTTAGGAAATCTAATGATTTACCTATAAACAGAAAGGCATATGTCTGCAAGGTTCATCATAGTAAACCTTGTGCTTCTAATAAAATATTGATTTCCACTCACCCAATAATTTATGTCTTCAATTGGCTTGATCAGGCACCCTGCTATTTTTCCACAAGATGTAGCAATCATCAAGGGAGTTGCAGGTCTTTTTAGAATACCAGTGTGCAGCTTTGAACAGAGTGGTATTACAGATAGATGAATCCCTGCAAGGCAAGCATGATTGCTATACCCAAGGGAAACACAATTCTACTTTTACACTTAGCTGAATTCATCTGTTGAATTGATGCATGCGATAGTTAAAGGTCATTATGTACAAATAATTTCTCATAGTCACAAGTTTTTATGTGAATTCTCAAGTGTCATTGACAGAAAAATGAAAGACGGAGAGAATAAGGTTCTTCTATTCTGTGCTGACATGGACTTCTTCAATACCCTCTTTACAAGCATTCATGGTTTAGCACCTTATAATAAATTAAATTTAGTACTTTTCCACAAATGGCTGATAACAAGAAAGAAATGCAATTATCTCAGGACAAAGATGTTATTTTTAGAGCTCTGTTTTGTCTGCTTGGCATCAATTTTCTGCACCCCTCTATTCATGTCATCTTTCTTGCACAGAAAGATGCTTACCCCTGATAGCTGAGACTCTGCTTCATAGAGCTTGGGAGGAAGTTCAGTTCTCTTCAAGTTGCTGGACCTGTTCAGGAAGTAGTCCCCAGCTGAGACACAGGTCTGAAAGGAAGATGACAGACTTTCTTCATACTGCTTTTGACCTGCATATTGTGAAAACAATATTTCTTTTATGAACAACAGTATATTCTCACGATTTCCACTTAGTCAAAGTAGCAATCTTTCCACCAGTATCCATCCCAACCTGTTTCTACTTACCACAAGGCAAAATCTGCATTCACATTAAGGCACCTTTTTCACACAGCCCATTTTTTAATCTTCCAAATACTCAAGAACCTTCTTCAATGTCAGGCTGACCTGTGTGCACTTGGGCTTCTGAGGCTTTGTTTTTTTTTCCTCCAGTGCTTGGAAGGGAGCTTAGAATCCACCTAAGTAATTTCACAGAAAACAGACGAGGTGAAGGAAGTACTCAAACTCCTTAACAGTAACAACCACAGAACCCAGGAACACTTACCTGCTGTCTTCTGAACTCAAGTCGCTTCCAAAGTGCTTCGCAGTGAAGTAGTGCCACCAGGGTTTTTCTGAAGAAGGCACCACCAATGTAACTAGCTCATTGAGTCTCTAAAACTATTTCACAGAGAGGGCAGAAAACATGAAGAAAAAGCAGCCTAGTAAGGAACACTGAGCCCGAGTCACCACAAGAGAAAAACACCCTAGGCTACCTAAGCCTCAGTCTCTCCTGGGGAGGCAATTCCCCCACAAGTCCTCAGGCTTCCTATACAGCAAAGGTCAAATGACCCACACCTGGCAGGTTTCGCTTAACAAGGGTGGAGCCAAGAGACCTTGTGGAATAAGCTTATCTACCTGGCTTCAAAGTTTTAAGGTCAATTGCTCCTTATCACTACTAGAAATAACCTGACAAGGGGCTTAGTGGTTACAGTTGACCTAATGAATTAACTACAAAAGGTGCACAAGGGTCATATTTCTGTTAGTCATTCTGTGAGCAAAATTAGTACAGAGCCTGTTAAAAAAATAAATACAAATAAATAAAAGAAATTAATAAAAAAGAAAATGACCTTAAAGGCAAACTTGCCATCATAGATTTTCATCTGTCTAGTGTAGTGGTTTAACCCGGCCGGCAGCTAAACACCACGCAGCCGTTCGCTCACCCTCCCCCCTCCCTCTCCGGGACGGGGGAGAGAAATGGAAAGTGAAGCCCGTGAGTTGAGATAAAGACAGTTTAATAAGACAGGAAAATAATAATAACAAAATAATAATAAAAATAATAACAATAATAATACAATGATGATAATAGGAAAGTAATAATAGTATGTACAAACAAGTGATGCACAATGCAATTGCTCACCACTCGCTGACCGATGCCCAGCCTAACCCCGAGCAGTCCGGCCCCTTCCCCCCCAGCTAGCCACCCCTATATATTGTTTAGCATGACGTCAGATGGTATGGAATACCCCTTTGGCTAGTTTGGGTCACCTGTCCTGGGTCTGTCCCCTCCCAGCTCTTACTGCACCCCCAGCCTGCCCGTTGGCAGGACAGAGCAAAAGGCTGAGATGTCCTTGGCTTAGTATAAGCACTGCTCTGCAACAATTAAAGCATCGGGGTGTTATCAGCACTCTTCTCATCCTAAGCCAAAACACAGCATTCCACCAGCTACTAGGAAGAAAATTAATTCTGTGCTAACTGAAACCAGGACATCTATCCACCCCTTATTCCATACCATTTATGTCATGCTCAGGTTACACTCTTTTCCATACATTCTAATTAGTCACCTATAGTAATCATGGTAGTGATAACATACAGTATAATATACTATTTAACATGGTACAATTCAGTTCATGGGCTATTCTCACCCAGTATTAAATCTCCTTGAGGTACACACCGGACCTCTCCGTTCTTTTGCATCACCCACCAAGTGTATCCAGGTCCCTGAGCGAAAACAATTCCACGAATAGGTTTGCCTTTTCCTGAGGCAGGAGTAGCCCAGACTGTTTTACCCAGCATATTTTTTACATGCACTACAGGAACTTTATCCCCATCTACAGTACGTAACAGGTTTGATTGGGCAGGTCCAGCTCGGTTGGTAGATCCCCTAGTATTGACTAACCAAGTGGCCTTTGCTAAATGCGTATCCCAGTTTTTGAACGTCCCAGCGCCCATTGCTTTCAAGGTAGTCTTTAACAGGCCATTGTATCGTTCAACTTTCCCGGAGGCTGGTGCATGATAGGGGATGTGATACACCCATTCAATACCATGTTCTTTGGCCCAAGTGTCTATAAGGTTGTTTCGGAAGTGAGTCCCATTGTCTGATTCTATTCTTTCTGGGGTGCCATGTCGCCATAGGACTTGCTTTTCAAGGCCCAGGATGGTGTTCCGGGCGGTGGCATGAGGCACAGGATATGTTTCCAGCCATCCGGTGGTTGCTTCCACCATTGTAAGTACGTGGCGCTTGCCATTGCGAGTTTGAGGGAGTGTGATGTAATCAATCTGCCAGGCCTCTCCATATTTATATTTCAGCCATCGTCCTCCATACCAAAGAGGCTTTGACCGTTTGGCTTGCTTGATTGCAGCACATGTTTCACAGTCATGAATAACCTGTGCTATAGCATCCATGGTCAAGTCCACCCCTCGATCACGAGCCCATCTGTATGTTGCATCTCTACCTTGATGGCCTGAGGTGTCATGGGCCCATCGGGCTATAAATAATTCACCTTTATGCTGCCAATCCAAGTCCACCTGAGCTACTTCAATCTTAGCAGCCTGATCCACCTGCTGGTTGTTTTGATGTTCTTCAGTAGCCCGATTTTTGGGCACATGAGCATCTACGTGGCGTACTTTCACAGCCAGGTTCTCTACCCGAGCAGCAATATCTTGCCACAATGCAGCAGCCCAGATGGGTTTGCCCCTACGCTGCCAGTTGTTTTGCTTCCATTGCTGTAACCATCCCCACAGGGCATTTGCTACCATCCATGAATCGGTGTAGAGATAGAGAACTGGCCATTTTTCTCGTTCAGCAATGTCTAAAGCCAGCTGAATGGCTTTCACTTCTGCAAACTGACTCGATTCACCTTCTCCCTCAGCAGCTTCTGCAACTCGTCGCGTAGGACTCCATACAGCAGCCTTCCATCTCCGATGCTTCCCCACAATACGACAGGACCCATCAGTGAACAGGGCATATTTCTTTTCATTCTCTGGCAACTGGTTGTACAGTGGGGCTTCTTCAGCACGACCCACCTCCTCCTCTGATGATATCCCAAAGTATTTGCCTTCTGGCCAGTCCATGATCACTTCCAATATTCCTGGGCGACTGGGGTTTCCTATTCGAGCCCGCTGAGTAATCAATGCAACCCACTTGCTCCATGTAGCATCAGTTGCATGATGCGTAGAGGGGACCCTTCCCTTGAACATCCAGCCTAGTACTGGCAATCGGGGTGCTAGGAGGAGTTGCGCTTCAGTACCGACCACCTCCGAAGCAGATCGAACTCCTTCATATGCTGCCAATATCTCCTTTTCAGTTGGAGTATAGCGGGCCTCAGATCCTCTGTATCCCCGACTCCAAAACCCCAGGGGCCGACCTCGAGTTTCCCCAGGTTCTTTCTGCCAGAGGCTCCAGGTGGGGCCGTTCTCCCCGGCTGCAGTGTAGAGCACATTTTTTACATCTGGTCCTGTTCGAACTGGCCCAAGGGCTACTGCATGGACTATTTCCTGCTTGATTTGTTCAAAGGCTTGTCGTTGTTCAGGGCCCCATTCAAACTCATTCTTCTTACGGGTTACTTGGTAGAGCGGGTTTACAATCAGACTGTAATTTGGGATGTGCATTCTCCAAAACCCCACAACACCTAGGAAAGTCTGTGTTTCTTTTTTGTTAGTTGGTGGAGACATAGCTGTTATTTTGTTGATCACATCCATTGGGATTTGACGACGTCCATCTTGCCATTTTATTCCTAAAAACTGGATCTCTCGTGCAGGTCCTTTGACTTTATTCTGTTTTATGGCAAAACCGGCTTTCAGAAGGATTTGGACTATTTTCTTCCCTTTCTCGAAAACTTCCTCTGCTGTGTCACCCCACACAATAATGTCATCGATGTACTGCAGGTGTTCAGGAGCTTCCCCCTGCTCTAGCGCAGACTGGATCAGCCCATGGCAAATGGTAGGGCTGTGTTTCCACCCCTGGGGCAGCCTATTCCAAGTATATTGAACTCCCCTCCAAGTGAAGGCAAATTGTGGCCTGCACTCTGCTGCTAGAGGGATGGAGAAAAATGCATTAGCGATATCAATTGTGGCGTACCACTTGGCTGCCCTCGATTCAAGTTCATACTGAAGTTCCAGCATGTCCGGCACTGCAGCACTCAGTGGTGGCGTGACTTCGTTCAGGCCACGATAGTCCACTGTTAGTCTCCACTCGCCATTAGACTTTCGCACTGGCCATATGGGGCTATTGAAAGGTGAATGGGTCTTGCTGATCACTCCTTGGCTCTCCAATTGACGAATTAGCTTATGGATGGGAATCAGGGAGTCTCGGTTAGTGCGATATTGCCGCCGGTGCACAGTTGTGGTAGCGATTGGCACTTGCTGTTCTTCGACCCTCAGCAACCCCACAACAGAGGGGTCCTCTGAGAGACCAGGCAAGGTAGATAATTGTTTAATGCCCTCTGTCTCTAAGGCAGCTATACCAAAAGCCCACCGGAACCCTTTTGGGTCCTTGCAATATCCTCTTCTAAGATAGTCTATGCCAAGGATACATGGAGCATCCGGGCCAGTCACAATGCGGTGCTTTTCCCACTCATTCCCAGTCAGACTTACTTCAGCCTCCAATACAGTCAACTGCTGAGATCCTCCTGTCACTCCACAAATATAGATGGGCTCTGGTCCTTTATAGCTCGATGGCATTATAGTACATTGTGCACCAGTGTCTACTAAAGCCTTATACTTCTGTGCGCGTGATGTGCCAGGCCATCGAATCCACACAGTCCAATAAACTCGATTGTCCCTTTCCTCCCCCTGGCTGGAGGCAGGGCCCCCCTAATCCTGGTCAGAATCTTCTTCGTTTCTGTGTTTGAAGGATTGTCTGCTGGAAGTTGGAGCAGCAAACTTTTCGGAGAATCCTTTTTTCCTGATTGTTTTCTTTTGCAACTCACGTACCCGTGCCTCTAGGGTCGCGGTAGATTTTCCATCCCATTTTCTCATGTCCTCTCCATGGTCTCGTAAGTAAAACCACAGGGTGGCACGGGGTGAGTACCCACTATATCGTCTTCCTTGTGTGGATGAACGCCTACCCCTGATAGCTGAGACACTGCTTTGTACAGGTGCGGAGGAGAATAATCTCTCCTCAAGTTGGTGAAACTTTTCAGAAAGTTTCTCCCAGGTGTTCTCTTTCGGTCGTTGGACACTGGTTGGTTCAGGTTGGGGGGAAGATAGATTCTCTTTAAGTTGGTGGACCTCTTCAGACAGTTTCTCCACAGCTGAGACGCAGGCCTGTAAGGAAGAGGAGAGACTTTCTTCGTACTGCCGGAGTTGTTTAGCCGCTTCATCCACTGTGGGTTCCTCATCCTCTTTCCAGGCCATTACTGCCAATGAGCTGGCATATGATGATGGTGCACTCCGTACAAACTTCCGCCACATGGGTCGTGTACACTTGACTTCATCTGGATCTTTGGATGTTTGTGTCTGGTCTGGATCCTCATAAATCACTTCCCGTACGGCTAATTCCCTCAGGTACTGGATTCCCTTCTCCATAGTGGTCCACTTGCCTGGTACACATAAAATATCTTCCTTGAAGGGATACCTTTCCCTCAC